TTTCAAATTTATATTGATCGAAAATGCGTCAAATACATTGTGAAGTTGATAAATAAGAGTGAAAGAGGGAGAGCAAAATGGAGTTCTCTCAAAATGATATAACACATTTTTTATAGTTTATGGAATGTACAAATATAGATTGTAACATTACTTTGCACTATTTGAAATTCAAAATAAATTCTGATTCGGAAAAATTGAAAAAGGGTTTTTTTTCTCTTAAATGTTTTTAGCATAGTAAAAAAATGTTTGATACAATACGTATTTTTTGCATAAGAATATAATTTGATGGTAGAAAATAATACTTTGGATTACTTATCTACGAATAATCTACTCATTCGATCAAAATACAACCTAAAACAATCAGTTTACGTAAATCCACCGAGTATGTTACTTCCGCGTGGTCAGCATCCACTATCCTTGTTTCGCTTACTGTTTCATCTAAAACCCACAGTTGGAAAATTGATTTTCGATTAGTTGAATGAGAATACGGGATCCAGTCACGTATCCTTGAGCCTCCATGTACTCCTCCGCGTACCGGGGATTAATACAATGATAATAATTTAATTAAATTGAAAAAAATGCCCACCATTGAAAAAATAAATAAAGTCACTTCGATCAAGGTATGATATTTATTAACCACACTATAATTCTATTGAAAATTATGCATTTTCGTTAGTAAATGTAAATAATACAGATAAATAAATAAAATTAACTGTAACAAGAGAAACAGGCGGAATAATTATCAAATTTGAAAATTTATGATCCACAGAATGTTAATGGGACTTATTTGTACTTTGCATTGTGTTAGTAATATATAATTACGAATCACAGCATAAATCTCCAAAATGAATTAATCAATATGGAATTAGTGATAAATATTTATTTGTGGGTGCATCAGATTATCGACAGTAGTTAACGAACAACCAATAATGCGAATTTTTCGGATTGATATTGAGGGGTCTATGACTATTATTGGGGCCAATTATTATTTCCTCGTTTTATTCGGGAACGGTGGGTCGTAAAAGAAATAATATCTCCAATCAATGATGGTATTGTACGACCATTGATAGTAAATTATGTTGTATAAAAGTGTTGTAATGTAACGACCACAAAATTTACCTATTTTATGGAGAATAACTGTTTCCAATCTATAAATAACAAAAGAAATTATCAACGACAAAAATAAATAATATAAGTCAGTGAAAAAGTATTCTTCTTTTCTCAACGAACGAGAGACTAAAACAAAATTAAGAAAAGAAGGAGTTTATCATTTCTTGAAATGTTTAAAATGTTACAACTATTTTTTCAATTGTAGAATCAACACCATAATGTAGGCCTTATTGAAAACTGGGAAAAATTTTTCGGAAGTTGGCGAGTTATAGATTTCATTCCAGTTTTCGAAAATCGAGTTAACGTCATATTTCGATATTTTCAGGATAAAGTTCAACTTCGGAGTAAATCAGAATTTAGAAACGGCAGGAAATAAGAGTATCTTTTGTAAAAAATACGCTAATGATGATAGAATAATTCGGAAAACATTTTTTTTCATCAATGAAGTCCTGCACAATTTTTAATTTCTTGCAATGAAAATCGATGATTTTCAAAAAATTGATAAGTTCTTGGTTTCACCTTGTTTTTCGAAAATCGAGTTTTCATCAGATCTCGACGTTTTGAGGTCCTAGAAAGCTTCCCTGACTATTCCCGCAATGATGTCTGTACGTCTGTATGTATGTGTGTTTGTGACATGGTTTTTCAATATAATTTTTCGATTATTTATCAGAATGGATTTTTTTCTGAGAGTTTTGGTAAATCTCTCTTAACCACGCTAAATGCCGCCAAGCGAGTAAAATCGGATGATTCGTCCAAAAGTTATTGTAGCATAAATATTTTAAAAAAAGTTTCTTATTGAATACCAACAAGACATTTGAACTCAAAGAGCTCAAAAACGTCGGAACAGGTCAAATTTGGAGTGCTTTGCATTTGAATTCTCGGAAAGTTCGAGGGATGGCCTGGTTTCGATTATGGAGATTGTACACGGTATTATTCTCGCTGAAATGTCGGACTTTAAATGGAAAAAGATCATTTCGACTTTGACCATCGATAGCTCCCCTTGTGGAAAAATTTCTCTGAAATAACTGTAAAAAAATTTTAATAAGTACAAATAATAGTTCATAACGTTTTTTATCTTCTTAAAAAGTCGAAAAAGTCTTATTAAGTCAGAAAAACTCTTCATTTGACTTAGAAAGTCAAATTTTTAACAAGATTTGGGACTCTGCCTGAAGAGTTATTCAGAGTTATTCAAACTTCTTGTAGGAACCCTTGTGGAAATAATTCTCTGAAAAATTTCTTAAAAAGTCAAATTTCCCCTACAATTTGGGACTTTCCCAAAGGGTTATTAAAGAATTGATAAAACTTATTCAGTTTTACAGTGAAAAGAAGAGAATGTTTCGTTTCAAAAAATTTACTGATCGGAATTGGAGAAAATTGAAAATTAAACTTTAAAAAAGAATTAATGCATTAAAAAATTGTTATAAACAAATGCGTTGTTTATGATAAGTTTTTAAGCAGTAAAAAGATTTTTTTAAGAAACGGTTTTTTTTTTTTAAATCATAATTATCATCAAAGATTATGTTATCAAAACAAATTTTTAAATTACCTCACAAGCAACGCATTTGTTTATAACAATTTTTTAAGCACTAGGAAATAAAAATGATTAAAAATCATTTTGAAGTAGCTTCTGATCATAAAAAATCGGATCAATAATAATATTATAAAAAAAAATTTTTTTTCAATGTTTAATAAATCTTTATAAATTTTCACCTTAGTAAATTGTTAATACAAAATCGAAAATTAACAATTTTTTAATTTTTCCGACGGAAATCTATTCTGAGATTTTTGAAAAATAGCTCCACGAAAGGAAAAAATTCTCAGATTAATAGTTCAACAATTATCGCACTTGCAATGTTAATGTTCGTGCTACGAAAAATTGTTAATTAACTTATGGATAACTTATAGAAAATTCACGATAAAAATTTTTGAACCACGGATTATTGTTCATTAATCTATCCTGCAGGCACCTGAATTTTTTCAGTTTTTAATTTTTATATTTAATAAGTTTAAATAATATTTATTCTTTAAAGGTCCGAAGGGGCCGTGGCTTGCGCAAGCCGGAGAACCCGTTTTCGGGCGTATTTTCAACCCTCTGGGAAAATTATGAATATTGGTCCGACAATTCCGGGAGTCGGAACTTTTTTTGGAAATTTTCTCCTCTTTTTGAATCTTTTTTCAAATTTAAAAATTTTTTATTAGTTTTTGAGATATTTGCAAAAAACTAAACCCCCCCCTCTTTTTTTTTTAGTTAATTGTAAATAACTTTTGCAATTTTTACAAACGGAACTTCATCTTTTTCAAAAATCATCTAGATGTCAGTCCGAATCGAATGACACCTCAATCATAATTTTCGGAGACTGCTGAAAACCGGCACTTGTTGACTGGACTAGTATTCTTAGTTTCTAATAGATGGCGTATGGTTAGAAAATTCTTTTCTACCTAGAAAGTTAATTTATATATGTTATAGTCCAAATTAAATACCGATTATAATACATTGTCATATGAAAAATGTAACGTTTAAAATTATAGAGCAATTCGATGTTCATCGAAGTACTTTTATGATCAAAATATTATTTGAAAAAAAATTTTGACAAAACATGCATTAATTCTTTTTTAAAGTTTAATTTTCAATTTTCTCCAATTCCGATCAGTAAATTTTTCGAAACAAAACATTCTCTTCTTTTTACTGTAAAACTGAATAAGTCTTATCAACTCTTTAATAACCCTTTAGGAAAGTCCCAAATTGCAGGGAAATTTGACTTTTTAAGAAATTTTTCAGAGAATTATTTCCACAAGGATTCCTACAAGAAGTTTTAATAACTCTGAATAATTCTTCTGGTAGAGTCCCAAGTCTTGCTAAAAATCTGACTTTCTAAGTCGAATGAAGAGTTTTTTTTTGACTTAATAAGACTTTTTCGGACTTTTAAAGAAAATAAAAAACTTTATGAACTATTGTTCGTAGTTATTAAAATTTTTTTACAGTTATTTCAGAAAAATTTTTCCACAAGGGTCAGCAACGAATGATCGCACAGAAAATTGAAGGTGGGTATTTAAAAATTGGATAAATTTCCTTCAAGGATTATTTTTTAAAGAAAAGAAAAAAAAATGTTCTTGAAAAATTATCTATTAATTATTTTTTTTTAATTTAAAAAAAAGTTCTCTTTAAATAGCCTCAATTTCATTGTCTTCAGATTTGAAGACTAGGCACTTCAAGCTCGAAATTGCTTTTTTTATAACTCCGATACGAATATTTTTAACAAGGATACAGCCATCTAAAGAATCGCTAAAAATTTGGAATTTCATTCTGATCCCTTAATTTTTTCCATTAGTGATATTTTTAGGAATAATTTTATTACAAATATATTATTCTCGATGTTGCCATAAATATATCTTTGTATAGGCAATATGTGACTCCATCTCTAAGTATTTTCAAGAACTTCTATACGTATAGAATAGGATAAATACGAGTAGGAAATAAATTACTCTGAGTAAATTATTTATGTAATACCGACGTTCTCGGGTCCTAAAAACCGATTTTTTGTGCTATCACAAAGTTTTGCTTCTAATGAGAAATATGAATGACTTAAAGAATATATTCAAGTAAAGTTTAAGAATGTTCGACGATTTAGCTTTTATTTAATTCTCATATCTTCCTGACAAGGAGTTAAAGATTATTATTAAATAAAAATAGTACAATGACAAAATAAGTAAATATAAACGTAGATAAATATTTGAATTCTATTTGTAAATTTCCGTATCTGTAATGCTAATTTCTACATTTGAAAAACTCTCTTACCGATATTGTTATCGATAATATTGTTCTGTGACAAAACCAGCACTTTAAAAAATAGAGACTTTGCAATATTACAGAAAATTAGATTGACGCCAATCTACTGACGCAGTTTGGTATCACCCTGATAGCCAAACCGGTCGCAACTTTCCGTTGATTTGCTGCAGCAACTTGTCACCAAGTTGGCGGCAAGTCTTGGAAATGAACTCGGTTGTTCACCAAGTTGTCGGCAGAAATTGCTTTCGAAATTCTTTCGCACCAAGTTGACGACAAGTTTCTCGAGAAATTTGGCGACATATTGCGGCAGTAGATTGGTCTTGTTTTTCTCAGAAACTTGTAGCCAACTTGACGTCAACAGTTTCAAATTCGGAAGTTGACCGCAAGTTGTCGGTAAGTTGGTGGCAACTATCTGACACCAACTTGGTTGGTCTGAAACTGTAGCTATCAAGGCAGTGTGAGGCGTAAATTGGTGGCAAACTTACTGCAAAAGTATAAAAGCCAGAAAATTTTTTGTTTAGTAACTTTTGAGTTGTTGGGGTGTTGTTACTATTTCTGAAATACCATTAATTTTCTGTAATATCACAAAGTTTCTACTTTTTGAAGTGCTGATGGTTTTGTCACAGAGCAATATTATCGGTAACAATATCGGTAAGACAGAGATTTGTAAACGTAGAAATTCGCATTACAGATACGGAAATTTACGAATAGAATTCAAATATTTCTCTACGTTTATATTTACTTATTTTGCCATTATACTATTTTTATTCGATAATAATACACTTCTCGCAAAAATTAAGAGAACAAAAAAATTTTCGAAATTTTTTGGCGATTTTCAACAGGCTGTATTTCAGTGGAAAATGGTCGTACAGGGAATAAAAAACAAAACTTTTGAAGCTTGAAGACTCTAGCTTTCATATTTGTTGGTTAAAATTTTTTCGGAGCACTGGTAGCCATGCAATCCTTGGATAAAGCACGAAGAAAAAATTTTCCAAATTTTTTCTATTTTTTTTTTCGCTCTACGGACATGGAAAAATTTTTCGAGTTAGACCAATAAATAGGTCGCATAGCCTGCTTATTCAGCTTCAATTTGCTTTTTGCGGGACTCGGATACGACCAGTTGTCTTCGAGATATCGAATTTTGAATGCAAAAGGATCCTTTTTCACTCAACTGCCAATATTTCTGGAACTACTTACAAAAAATCGAATTTTTGGACCCGAATATGTCAGTATTACCCTGATAGTCACATACTATAAGTGATTGCAGATAAGTTAGCGACAAGTTATCGTTAAGTTAACGTCAATATACAATTTTTCTTGCTCTCCAGCCGAAAGTACGCAACTCCGTGAAACTTTTGCAAAGCCGAGACGAAGTCGCTGGTCGGAGCGGACATGAAAAAAAGTAAAAGTTAATAAATTAAAAAAAAATCGGAAAACGGTTGACCCTGAAGGCCATCCCTGCAACTTCCCGCCAATTCTATACCTACCCGTGAAAAAATATTCTGATCAGACTTGATATGGCCTGATCAGGGCTGATATGGCCATATTAAGATGTAGTCAATCCAGAAGGAGAAATAAAATTTATCATTTCTGATTTTATTTTGTTTTTTAAAAAATATTTATAACACTAATTCGTAGTTAATATGAAATTTATTTTAGTATTTTTAGTTGTTTGTCCAACTTTATTCAAAAACAGGTAAACTCTGTAATAGGGTAAAAAAATTCTACTCTTTTTGGAACTTAACACTTCAAAGTCAAGTATCTAGAAAAGAACAATTCCGCGGCCATGCGCCATCTACCGAAGACTTTTAATACTAGTTTCGACAGTGTGGAACATGTGATTGCTCCATGGTGAAGTCTTAGTAACTAACTAATATGTTGTCAGATTTATAATATTTCATTGATTATTTGAATTTTTTTTTAAATTTTCAAATAATTTTAATAATTCATCAATAAATAACTGAAAATTAAATTTCATGATAAAAATGTAAATAATAAATACACAAAAGAGTACTTTTGTAATACACAAAAGATTTTTTCATTTAACATAATATTGCATGAAAAACAATAATAATATCAATTTCATATTGTATTTAAAAAATAAAAAAAAAAATTTACTTTTTGTAAATTTTAAACCAGATGAAAAACGGTAGCCGATTGGTTCTACGACAACAGTAATTTTTTTTTTTTAAAGTTTCTTAAAAATGTTGAGTAATTCGAAAAATATATGAAATTCATTTATTTTTACTTAATTGATAAAAAAATTAATTTTATAAATAAAAAATTCTAAAATATCAATTTCTCAATTAAAATATATTTTGGGAAAAAATTGAAGAGTACAAAATTAAATAAAGAGTTTTTAGAGCAACTTCGAAATTTTTTTTTTTAATTTATACATTTTATCTTTTTTTATAATTTATACCGTAAATCTGCCATAAAATATATTAATTAAAAAAACTTAAAAATGTAAATTTGCCGATTCTTAGACTTAAAAAACCTAGTGACTGTATAACAAAATTATCACTCAGATTTGGCTTTATTTGATACTATTAAAAGTCAGATCCGGCTTGATAAAATTGTATCAGAACATATCAAAAAATTAGAAAACGGGCATATCAAATTATATCAAGCCATATCAGAATATATCAATAAATTATCTATAGATATATCAAATTATATCAGCCCAGATCAAATTATATCAAACCAGATCAAGCCATATCAAGCCTGATCAAGCACTATCAGGCCTGATATGGCCAATTTGCATATCAGGTCATATCAGGTTATATCAGAACCTACCAAAAATTATACATGGACATATCAGATAATATCAGGCCTGATATAATTATATCAAAAATTTTGATATGGCCATATCAGGACATAACAAGTCTGATCAGAATATTTTTTCACGGGAAATTTCCGGATTATAACTTTTAAGACGTATTTGTTCAAAGTTTGTTGAATATTTGTAAAATCATGAGTAAACTTAAGAGTACAGTACAATTTTTTCATAACTTATAAAAAACTAAGATACATAACTAAACAAAGAATTTCTTTCATCATCCTTACTTTAATCGATTGCCGTGTGCGTGCTTGAGTGTGTAAAGGTTTAGCTCAAGGCAATGACAACATTTTATTTATTAAAGTTGATAACACTTTTGTTTAATTGGTCTTAAAGGGCGATCGTGAGTTAAAAGATCGAGGGGTTGAGTTAAATAGGAAGTTGATCCGTTAAAGCTCGGGTCGTTATCGAGGCTCTTTCTTAGGGTCACATGATTTACCGAGGTAACCGCCTTTCCCAAAAAACCAAACTTGGGATCGAAATTTGCGAAGAAAAGGAAAGTTAAGAAAAAACGTACACTACCTTTACGACTGGCGAATAAGTAGAGTATTAGCAGACGAAGGATGATGGCAGTTCCTCGACTTGCTAAGATAAGTAAAAAGGAATGTACCTTGCTACGAATTGGAGTGAAATAAAAATAAAAAATAAAATGAAAGACGTGCAATTTCACTTGGTGAACTTTTTCTTTATTCGATCGTTTCTACCGTCTCATCATCGAGAATTCACTACGAAACTCGATTCAAAGTCCAACTCATCCGATTGCTTTTCTACTTTATTTTTTATTCATGTCTTTTCTTTCTTCTCCGTTGCCTCGTGTTTCTCCTTCATTTCGCTCCTTGTCAATTTTCATTCGTTGCTTCTTATTTGATAGATAAAATCTACTGAACTTTATATAAATATATATTTGTATATATGTGTCTTGGAGTGTACACTCCCACTTCTTACACATGATTCCTGAAAATCAGTGAGCGATCGTTGCCGGTGTAGTGGTGAGGCGCGGATAGTTACCAACTACAATTTTCTTCAAGTCTCATTCTATGTGCACGCAGTCTAAAAAAATCTAGCTTGATCAAGTGGTGCCATAGTTTTCACGTGACAAATAATAAAAGTTCGTTTGGCTTTGTACGGTTATATCGTGGTGAATTTTAATAAAAATTCAATTTAAAAAAAAATACGTAAGCTAGGCCACTGATATGAAATACGGACCTAGTTCATCGAATTCTTAAACTAATAAAAAAGGTCCGGTCTTGAAATATCAATTTGTTCGGGAGTAATTGTTGGTACATCCAAAATGGGGTGACATCCGGACGTCGACGTAAAATTTTTTTCAAAATGTTTTTTTTTTCAAAATAGCAACATGAAATGATTTTAGGAAGTAAAAAATGGTTTAATTTAAGTGTTTTTTCGGTGTACATCTACTTATATCATTGTATAAGTGTAATATGGTTGTGATAGAGGCATTTAAAGATCACAAAATTGCTTGACCTTGACGAGTCGAGTATAAAGCATAACCTCACGCGCTTTGCGCTATGAGGCGTGCAAAAAATTAAAACTCTTATTATAATCTGATTCAATTGTTGGGATTACTGATTTATACTAAAGGGTTAAATCAAGCGAAGTAATCTTGGTATATTTTTTTTTTTTTTTTTAATTTGTTTAAAGTCGCATAAACTACTAAGGTCATGAGCGACTACGGTAGAGGGTAAACTTTTGAGATTGGAACTCGTTTGTATTTCTTGGGCTGAGCAGAATAATACACTTAAATATTGAAAATATTCATTGATGTACGCCGGACTCGAACCCGGTCCAATGCTTTGGTAGCAAGGGCCGGATCCGATAGGCTACTGCGCGCCCTAGAATCTTGGTATATTGTTTTAATTACAATTGTAGTACATTCAAAGTTATATATTACACGTAAATTACAAAAATACATCTTGTAAGTTCCAAATACACTTGAATAACTTAACCCGGCATCCAATCAAATTTATCTAGTTTAACAGCATATTTTTTTTACAGTTGATTGTAAAATCTCTCAACTAGTCTACGAAATTCGAAAATAAAAAAGCGCAAGATAAATATTGAAAATTGTTTCACTTTAGATAAAGATGCAAGAGTTTTTGTTTTGTTTAACGTGAACATTTTTATTGAGTATTCTGCAATAAAACAAACGATTGAAGAAAATAGACCTATTAAAAGCAAAACAAATGCAAATATAACATCCTCTAGCTTAATAGGTCGATGATAGTTTTCGGTAGAATATTCGGAGGTTTCAAAAATTTTCTTGGTTTTTTTAACCGTATTTTTGTCCCAAAAATCCAAAATTCCAGACTGTGCCAAGCGCATAACTATATTGTTAACACGGTGTCGTAAACCCCAATTGTGAGTCATTGATAGTGAGGAGTAGCTAAATCTAATGGAATTTTTAGAAGTGTACAATTTATAACGAGGTATTAATTGTAGTAAAGATTTTTGTTTATCAATGCAAGCGACTGATGGATCTCTGATGTATTGTTCATATTCATTTTCGGAAAATGAAGATTTGTTGTATAATGGCGTTCCTTTGATGTAGTGCACACTCATTACATTTGCGTAAATATGAGTGTAACGAGGATCCTCTAGATCTTCTAGAGTCTCGACATTTTTTCTGTACACAGGTTTGGTCAAAAAAGCTGCAAGGTAACCGGAAAAAGTTGCCTGGATGATCAGAAAGTACAAGAATATAACAGAAAAAAATATTCGGATTTAATTTTAATTTTTTATAATTTTTGTCTACAGTCGATAAGACAGAACTTGATGTTAATTTTGATTTTCAATCATTATCTTTAGCCGATTTCTCTAATATTGACAATTTTTCGAATACTAAGGAGAATTTTAATTCTACAAAACTAATAATAGTTTAAAACAACTAAATAATCACGCTTTTATAAATAAACCAAACTAATAAGTAAAAAATAAATAATAGTTTAAAAAAACTAAAAACACGCTTTTTATAGAAAATCAAACTAAAAATAGAAAATAAATTTAAATTAAGAATAGTGTTAAAAATTTCAATAAATAT